TATAACGTGTATCGAATCGCACTTTGAAGATTCGACGTTGTCATCCTATAGTAGTTGTGGGTTTAGAGCATGTGTTGTGTGGATACAATCTACTTATGCATGGAAGGTGACTTAGTGCATTATATAAATTACGTATAAGTTGTGAACTTATTTGATTATTTTGGAGTCTTGGGACATTGTTACTGTGATATGGCTAAAGTTCGGCTTTAGTGCGGGAGGTATGAGTTCTCCCCAATTGAGATAGTGCGCACTAGGGTGGTCTCCCAACAAGTTAATGCCCGGAATAACCAATTTGTTCTTGGTTTAGTCCGAGACGTGATGTCCAAGTCTTTCACTATTTGTTTTCGCATTCAATTCCAAGTTATCAATCATGTTTATATTGTGACTGTGGTTTTGGCTATTGGCGATTTGATGTTGTTAAGTACATCCATGTTAAATTGCTATATTTAGTTGATTTAGCATTTAGATTTCAAGTTGATAACTTTGAGAATCTATATCTAGTTGCTTTGTGTAAGCATGTTTCTATCTGGTTGCTTTGTGTAAGCATGTTTCTAACTAGTTGCTTTGTGTAAGCATGTTATATCTTGTTGCTATGTGTAGCATGCTCTTGTGTTGTTGAAATTGCATAAATGATGTGTTTTATGTTAGAAATGATCTTAGGTAGTTAGGATGCTCCCTGGGTCTCACATTTGACATAGACGTTAGGTGGAATGAACCACAATGATTAAATCATGTACACTTGTAAAACATAGGTCGATGCATGCTCATTTCCTACAAGTAGCTTTATGTTACTCACCCCTACGATACTGGGACATATTTCAGGTACATGATACAAGATTGGAGATTGCAATTGCTTGGGTGATTTGCTGAGTTGAGCTTCTTTAGAAACATTCTTTTTCACATGCAAGTGTTAGCATGTTCATGATTTGTCTATGAAATGTAATTTTTCTAACTTAGAGGTCTAACATGTCAAATGTTGTAAGTGAGTTGTAATAAGGCCATGGGCCATTGTAGCATGTTTAAAATACCATTTTAGACTTACGTGTATGTTCGCATCATCACACAATAGCATATAATGCAATTTAATCATGCCATGGGGAGTCATTTTGATGCCTTAGGGATGACGTACATCTCTAGTGGCTACTTAGTTTCCTTCGTTTCCGCATTTCAGATCCGTTATCGGGTCATTCTTTTGGTTCATCACAGGACACACTGGGTTGAAAAATCTAGGGTCGTCACATAATCATGTCAACATCATCTTTGACCAAAATAATGACATTTAAAATTAGTAAATGTACTATCAATGACTCATTTACTATATAAAATAAGTAAGCAAAACCAATTACATCAATTTGTAACTATATACATTATAAGAAAAATACCTTTTTACCACGGTGGAAAAGTCTTTCTACCACGATTTTGAACCACGGTAGAAACAGCCGTGGTAGAAAGTTTCGACTTTCTACCACGGTTTTGCACCGTGGTTGAAAGTTTATTTTCTACCATGGTTCCCCACCGTGGTAGAAAATAAACTTTTAACCACGGTGCATAACCGTGCTAGAAAGTGTTATATAATTTTATTTTATTTTATTTATTTATTTATTTATTTTAAATAATAGTTTAGCCCTTATGAAGGCTTCTTTTTTTTTTTTTTTTTATTTTTTAGTTTTTATTTTTTACTAGCCTTGCAGAACCCTAAGTAAATCAAAAATAACATCACAACCAAAATAATTTACAACTCATATATAACCAAAATAATTTATAACCAATTTCCAATTATTATTTTATACAAAAATTAACCATCTACAAATTTGAAAGAAGTACATGATCCACACCTTATATATTTACTTAACCAAAATAAAATAAAAATTCTTCATATCTTCTTGCAACTTCTTCATGAACTATACAAAAAATATAGCGGCAACCAAAAAAGTAACTGCAACCGCAACCGCAACCGGCAATCCTAGTTTTGACCTACAAAGATAGTTAAAGTAAAAGAATTAATGTAAAGTAAGTCGTAAAGTTGCCAAAATTAAACCAAGCAAGGCAAGCATTATAATAAAGGTACTTTGAAAGATCTACTATTCGTCTTAACTCAAGCAAAACAAGTATTAACATGGTCTTAACTCAAGCAAAACAAGTTCAGTGTGTCAAGAAAATAATCTCAAAGCAAGTATTAACATGTACAAGTACTTTTGAATCAAGTCCAAATTACGAAAGTTAAGTATTTCAGCTTCTTCCATTTGTCAGCCGAGTCAAATCTCTGAAACTAGAGAATTGGATTCTTGAGGAGCTGTTTAAAAAAGATAGTCCACCCTATATGATTAATGTAGAAAACTTGGATATACAAGGTGGTTGTAAAAGACAACAAAAAATTCTTGCACTGGCCTTCTTTCTAGGAAGATTGCCTAATCTAAAGACGTTGAATGTGAGCTGCATAGACTACATTTAATTAACACATAAATCAACAACACCAATATCTGATTTAGACTACTGGGAATCTCAAGATCTTGAATTTCTACTTTTTATAAAGACAGCAAAGATTGAGATTACAAAAGAGGAATCTGAAATTAGACTCATACAATATTTTATAAAGCATGCAAAATCACAAGAGAAGATGATAGTCATTTTATCCCAAAAGGAAATTGGGAGAGCAGTTGATCAGATTGTGGAAAAGTTAATAAGATTCAGTAAAAGTTTCAATGAAGAAGTACTACATTTTGTGTTAAAATATTTGTGGTGAAATTAACGCTTATATGTGAGTTAAATCTTGAAAAGTTAGATGGGGTAAACAATATCAACACTCAAGCAAAGTGTGATACCCCTCAGATCCGAGATACAGGTTGATCAGGCCTAGGTCCAAACCCGAGGGGAATATCAAACAATTAATATTTTAATGAACACAGAATACAAAATGAAATAAGAATAAATATTAAAAAGCTGAAAGAGACTAAAATAAAATCCTTTAAAGATAAATACTTAAATCCTAATAATCCAAAACCTCCAATGGATTAAACAACTCGGGAATCCATCTCTAGTGGACCCCTAATAAAAATCCAAACTGAATTAAAATAACTGAAAGAACATCCTGATATAAGCTATGGAGAGAAATCCTATGTCGTAGGTAGAGTGAGTAGAAACCTCTGCTCAGCACGAACACGTCTAAGTCTGGAACTGTCGTGTACCTGAAAAATAGAAGTGGGTCAGGCCCACGCGCAAGTTCTATACTACTACAATCCAAATGGAGGCTCGATACGCAAGTGCACCCTAAACAATTCAACAATAACTAATAGTCCTTATATATATATATATATAGTTACGCTAAAGGACTCTCACTGGACTACAGGCCGGTCTCAACCTGAATAGAGGTAACATGCTCAAACGCACATGAAGTGGGCATGTGTACCTAAGCCTAAACAGGTTACACCTCCAACCATCGTATCCAACTATGCATTCCAATGCATATACGCTCCCTAACCATCGATCTTGAGACTCAAGCTCATATCGTGGTACCATAACAATATATTTAAAATCCATCCTCTATCCTAATAGTGCCGCTCAACTAGTTGTTGCCATGACACTACAATTTAATAGGACTTAACTTTTGATTAATCCATTCCTAAATCCAGAGTAGGTAGGTTTTAGTATTTTGATTCCAAACTGTCCCTAGTATGCCACCGTCCCATACCGGTGCATACTCCAGCCATCCAGCAGTTGATAATACAGACGACTAAAGTAATTATCAACTAAATCCATACATCTAACAATTGATACCAACAGTAGTAATGTAAGCATCGATAAGTAGAGTAAAAGTATATACATAACCATGCTCAGTACATGCAATTCCATAAAATCCGGTATACTATTAAGTTTAAATCTTAATAGCGTTCAACAACCAGCAGTTTATATTACAGATATTAAAATAAATATCAACTAAGTTCATACCTCCAACAATTGATACTAACTGTAATCATGAAAACATCAAAAACAGAATTACAATATGCATATAAACATACTTAATCTATAGTGTTTCCCCAAAATCCGGTAATGCTAAGTTGGTTTAACTCTTAATATTATTCAACACCAACTCATTCAGAACAGTTATAATTCATATACATGATCATGATATATAATTAAACATGTTACAATTATATCATTCATCTCAGAAGATTACTAATTCAGATAGAGTTAAACATTACTAGCTTTCTAATTTTTAAACATAGTGAAACTGTCTGATTAATTCCTTATGGTCCAAACTATTCTAAGCACATAGACTTAATTAACACCACATCTGGAGCCTTAATCTAACCATATACATCAATTAGACCTTTCATATTAAATCCTGAACTCAACTGGAAACTCCAGAATCAACCACTGCATGCAAAAACTGACTGGAAACGAAGAAAAAAAAATCTAAAACTCAGCAATGAGACGTCTCCAAAAAGTGGAGCCGCCTCCTTTAGGCCTTGGAGCCGGCTCCCACACTTGGGAGCCGCCTCCACATCAAAGGGAGCCGGCTCTCTCCAAGGGAGAGCCGGCTCTCTCCCTCTCTGCCTCGTCTCTTCGTCTTCCCTCTTCTTCAGACGCCTTCTGCAATTTCTCTGCCCTATGCTATGGTTCCCAGAAGTTGTAATTCCATCCTAGTAGCTTCCCAGTCCATGTTTAAGTCTTTAATACATTCCATGCATAGGTTTAAACGGAAAATTAAATAAGCAAATAACACGTTTTAACAGGTTTTGCAAGTAAGCACACATACTGTGATAATCCAAGTTTTAGCATAAACAGATAACGTTTTTTATTGATTAAATCAATCCTAGAATTATTTAAAAATGCGAAGAACACGAAGCCTAAGGGAAAGAGTAAGGATAGAACTTGCCTTACACCGACGTCCGTCTCACTTCTTCGGCGAATACTCTGTTTGCTCTCTGTTCTTCCCCAGCCGTCTCCAAAACTTCTCTCAGCCTTACTATGTCGTAGTATTCTTCTAAAATCCTAGGCAGACATCCTAGGTGAGTATTTATAGACCACCCTTAAACCCAAGTCCAACTAAACCCTAAACTGAAACTCGGCCCATAAAGAAAGCTAGGTTAAATTTAATGACGGCCGTGAACTATAAACCTAACGTATGCATCCAATCCTACAGTCACGTAAAAATTAATTAAATTTAATTAAATAAGTTCATACCATTAAAGCAACAGCTAATTAAAACAACTAATTACAACAAAACAATTAAATAACAATTAAGTAATTAATACAATTAAAGCAAAAAATAAAACAATTAAATAAATTAACTACAACTAAATCAATTAAATAAACATATATACACTTAAACAATAAAAATGAAATTTAAACAATAAAGAAAATATTTAAACAATAAAGAAAATACCAGGACTATCCTTTTTGGAATTAGGGGTATTACACAAAGCAAGTTCAGTGCGTCAAGGAAATAATCCCAGTATTAAAGCTTAAGCATGGCTTATTTAATAGGTAAACAATTTCTACTAGTGCATGCATATTCATCAGGAAATGTTAGTTATGCAAAGAAGCTTACAGCAAGATGAATCCTCAAGGAACTAACAAACATATATACACTGTAGCATCATCATCCACATACATTAGTTGCATCCACAGATAGAAATCAATGTACTACTTCACTAAGAGAAGGATAATTTCCAGTATGTAGTATCATGACACTACCGGGCAAATGCATAAACTTGCCCAACATTACCTCTTTCCAAATACACACCCAATAACCATAATCTCTAGTAGTGGCAGCAAGCAAGCATCACTCCTCCCACAACAATCAAAAGCCATTCTCAACTCAAAGATCAGTTTCAAATTACTATGACTTACGCTTTCACCAATACCTTAGTGCTAATTTCATGAAGACCTTGAATTATATTCTTAACGCAAAAAACACCCAAAATTGGTAGTTTGTGATTTAATCCAACGGCCTGCTTCATGTTTATAAGGTTTGGATTTGATTCTTCAAACCCTTTGTATCATTTCAAACCCAAAATTGAGTTTCAGCCGTTTCTTGCTACTTTCAATTTCTCCTAGTATCATTTCTTCCTGTACAAATTTAAAAGTAGCACAAAAGAGGCAAGACAACGAAACAATTAACAACTAATTAAACAACTAATTAATAAAAAAAAATGAATTTCAACTTAAACACGAAAGGGACAACTTTGAAACTGAAAACTATCTTGAAACTATGCCAAGATATGAATTTCAAACTGAAAACACGAAAGGGACAACTATGCCAAAAAAAGAAAAAAGAAAAAAATAGAAATAGAAATGCATGTAAATTGAAATTCAATTTTTTTTTGAGTTACCTTTTTAGACTTGATTCTTGCAATGCCTTGTTCAAGTCTGTTTTCCATCTGCTCCAATTCCTTCGCATTTAAAGAGCAGCCTTCGCCCGTCAAATACCTGTAAGCAAAGAGGACAATTATATACATACATATATATATAAATGTACATTTATTAGAGAGTCCATATAATTTTTTACTTATTCGAGATTTTAATGCTTGTAATTGATGATAATTAATCATAAAGAAAAACCTGTTGGTATTTTGAAGCATATCTATTTGTTGTTGTAGCTTCTTTGATTCTTGCTGATAAAACTATATATATGCAACCCAAAAAATAGAATCAAATAAATAAAAAAATTGGTTAGTTAAATACTAAACTCATTCCTGCCAAAAGAGATTAAATAAACTCATTCCTGACTTACCATTTACCAAGCTAGCTAGCTTGTTCCCTATATATATATATATATATGAAGACTGGCTAACATGTAGGTTGCCCTATTTTGCCAATTCTTTTTCTTACAAGGAAGAGAATTAAAATGGAATACTATGTCAATTCTAATATTAATTGGGATTAATTTGTAATAAAACACAGGATCAGCAATGTAAAATGTCAAAAAATAAAATTATGATGCATGAACGACGATAACCATTCTTATAAATTACCTTGTTTCATTTATACACATGAAATGCACTAGTTATCATACTGAAAAACTTACCTAGTTATCAAAGCAATTAATTAAGTGACCATATATATATACATAGATATATATCCTAACGAAATTATCAGATCAAAATATAAATTAGAAGCTAAGAAAGAAAAAGAGAGGGTGACCATATATATATATATGTTAGCTTATGAGGGGAAGAATGAAACTACTAACCACTTTAACAATATTTAAGCAAGCCATTGGTGTTCTTTTAGAGATGTCATTGATAAAGATCTTGACAAATGGTAAATAGATATACCGTGTTTCCAAGAGCAATGGCAAGAACATTGCTGCTACCCCAATCTAATAAATTCAAGTAGTAATCATCAACCAAATCGGGAGCATCTAATGTCTTCTTAGAAGTCTGCAAAACCAGATTAACACCATTCAAAATCAATTATAAGAATTATGCCTAAGAACATCCATTCAATAAATCCTAATTGCAAAAACAAAAGTCGACACAAGGAGATTCTAATTTAAAGCAGGGGTCCAAGCTATCAAACCAAACTTCTAAGTTCACCCTAGCCACTTCAAATTCAACAATCCACACACTATCCAACCAACAACATTTCTAACTAAACAGGTAATAAATTTGTGTAATTGGTAATGTCCCAAATATCCTTATAATTGATTTTGATAATTTTCAAGTTCACTCAATATTGGAAGCATCTTGTTCACTTTCCAGTATCCATTCCAAATCTAAATTCAACTAATTCCTTAATACCATGAATTTCAAAAGGCATTACATATCAATAAAAGATTAGAATATATATATAACACACCAAATTAACCACTGTCTCTATTAGAAGTATGGGGCGAATCCCATACCATACCTATTTGAGTATCAATTTGATGAATATAACAGGGGATGAAAATACAAACCTCAATTCGTGTCCTTCAAATTTAGGGCTTCGAATGAGAGAGGGAGATAGGGTTAGGGCATAAAGAAAGGGGCGAATCCTTGTTCAATCTCGACGCCAATCAGCTGTGCCGCTATCTTCTCTGCTCTAACGCTGCGTTGACGGTCGATTGAACCCTTAGTGGCTTCGGTAGAAGGGTTGGGCTTGGAGAGAAAGAGGAATGACGGCTTGGACGGTCTGAGAGAAAGGGGGTGGCCGGCTTTCTTTTCATCTCCTTGCTCTGCTTTCTTATCTTCTTCCTTCTCCGGCAGCTTCTCCTCGGCAGCAGGCGGCAGTGGAGCTTCCTCCTGTGTTGCTGCCTCCGAATCGTAAACCAGATTGAGAAAGGGGCGGCCGGCTTTTGAAATATATGTTTGTGTTCTATAAGTGTGTTGTATGTGCGTGGTTTGTATATATATTTTACATATATATGTATATTTTATTGACACTAGTGGGGGGAATAAGACCCGCCAAAAGATAAGTGAAATTTTTCCACTTTTCTACCACGGTTATAAAATAACCGTGATAGAAAGATCCGAAAATAATTCACCTTCTACCACGGTTATAAAATAATCGTGGTAGAAAGACCCGCCTAAATTATTAATTTACTTTCTACCATGGTTATAAAGTTAACTGTGGTAAAATCATATACTTGCTACCACGGTTATTTTTAAACCATGGTAAAAGAATACTTTCTACCACGGTTATTTTAAAACCGTGGTAGAAAGACCCACCTAAATTACATTAAAAATAATTCACTTTCTACTACAGTTATAAAATAACCGTGGTAAAAGAATATACTTTCTACCACGGTTATTTTAAAATCGTGATAAAAGAAAATATTTTCTACCACGGTTTTAAAAAAACCATGGTAGAAGACCCTTTCTACCACGGTCACGGTTTTAAAATAACCATGGTAAAAAATATACTTTCTACTACGGTTATTTTAAAACCGTGACAGTGGTAGAAAGGGTCTTCAACCATGGTTTTTTTAAAACCGTGGTAAAAAAAGCGTGGTAAAAAACTGTTTTTCTTATAGTGTTATGTCCTACACATATAATTCATGTGTCATTAAACTCCTTATGTTCAACAAACTCATTCAATATGGTTTGCTTAACTTCCAAAAAAAAAAAAAAAAAACTAAGCTAAAAGTATAATCTCTAGACACTTAAGATATGTATGAAGGTTCTATCTAGATTATGTCTATGCAATGCATGCTAATCAAGACAACAAATGCCTATTGATGAATCAAGAGAAAGAGGGGGGAGGGGGGGTTTAAATTGGTTCTTGTATAAACTTTTCTTATTTGTTTGATCAATAGAATGTGAGAAGGATGATGACAGATTCAATAAGCTTACACACACTTATAAGTACTCAGTGCATTTACAAGGAAAACCCTCTCAATAGGGAGAAACTATGGTTCTTGATACTGTCCCACGAGGTATCAAAAATAGATGTTCATAGGTGGCAAATAAGACATCAACTTTTAAATTTGTAAAGCCACTAAACAACTATACGCTAATATAGTGAGTAGGGATCGTCCACTGGGATTATTGGCTTGGAATTTAATTTAACATTAATGAACATAAGATTGAAAAGATAATGTTTGTTTTGATTAAACTAATGATTAACTCTATGTGAAAGTATGCAAATGAATTGAACTAAGGTATATTTAGATTAAGGTATTAAAAAGAGAGAGAGGTTTAGGGTATGGATTACACCACTAAACTCATGCAATTATACCAAATGTCTTCAATTAATGGGGAAAATGAATTATAATAGAAATGTGGCTACAAGCTCACATCAATGTTCAAGAAGATAATACAAATTACAATGAATAAGCATGAACTATCAAATTCAAGCATGAATTGTCTATCTAACTACAATTAGTCTGAGGTGTAGCACAACCCATCAAGATTAAGCATAATTTATCAAACTAAGAGCAATTGTATCCAATAAAAACCATGCATGGCCATCACTAAGTACAATTACAAAAAGTACTCAATGCAGAGATCAATCCTCAATTAACCACACATAAGACAACATGTAATCAACATAGAGAATCAATTGAAAGAATTATCAATATAAACCTTAGTACAACCAAGTATGAATTCACAAGACCAAGCAAAATTAATTACAATTCACAATCCCCAAAATTGAAAGACAAAAGGTTTAATTACACAAGTTTAGGGCCCATCCAAGCCCCAAGTGAAGAACTAGCCACTCATGGAGAAGGTAGATGTCATCTTGGTGGTCTCACAATCCATCTCCAAGTTTTGGTTCATATTTTTCCTTGAGAGAAACCCTAGAGAGAGAATAGAGAGAGAAAATCCCCAAATTGTCTATTTAATCTTCCAATTGTCCAACCCCCTTGCAAATTGGGTTAATATTATATTTATAGGTGACTCTTATGATCCCAAAATGGTCATACCACGTACATAAGGACACCTGATTGATTGCCCCTTAAGTCTTTTTGAATCAAAGCTTAAATTCTGATTTTCGCAGCTGTAAGGCCCACTAGATCGATTGAGGCCTTGGCTTAATCAATCGAGGTTATTGGGGATTGATTCTGGATAAGGCTAAAGGGCTCGATCGATCTGGGATGTTGCTTGATCGATCAAGCTAGTTAAATTTACAGCTCAACCTCCTTCTTGCTTTGATTTCCCGCTAAGATTTCTGTTGACTTTCTAAAGGCTTTAAGACATTAGATTTAATTCTTTTTAACCTTATGAACCTAAAATTATAAATAAAAACAAAATAATACTAAAGTGGGAAAGTAAAGATAGATAAAGGTTATATTATTATGATGACCATGTCATCTTTTCTTTTTTTGGAATTTTTCTTTTTCTTTTATTTATTTGAATTATTTATTTATTTATTTCTTTTCTTGTTACCTTAGGGTTTTGTAGGACCCAAGGTAGGGTTTTGTGTCCAGAATTGGTTTCTGACATTTCATGCATTCACTTTAATTTATTTTATTGTTAATGCATAGTTTAATTGTGTAACAAAGCATGCTAGTTTATTTTCATTTCTTGGGGGTATAATTGCATTATTTCTTTAGAAGACATTTTTATTTTTGGGGTTCTTTATTCGATTATCTTTTTGAGATATTTTTGGTTTAAGGACCTTTTTGCAATTATTTTTGGAAGATATTTTGTCTAAGGACTTTTTTGCAATTTTTGAAAAGTGTGACAAGTGTCACTCTTCCAATGGACCATATGTTGATTTGTGGTTGGAGACATGTGGAGGGCTTGGATAATGCCAAGGGTAAGGTGGATTTTAAGTTTTGTGTGGATGCCTTTGGTTGTGACAAGTGGAGGATTGTGATGAGAGTGCGTGTGAGAGGTAGTGCTAGCTTAGTAAAGTGATATGTATATCACATTGTGAGTGGGAAACCTAGAGTTTTCTTCTTCATCTTATTCTTCCTCTCACAAGGCCACCATTGTTGCACACCTTAGACCTTGATTCTACCTACCTTCCATACACCTTTTAGCCTAACCCTTGGAAGATAAAAGCTTCTTTACACCTTAGCCTACAATACCTTTCTCTTGTATTTCACTTTTGCACACTTTTCCTTTGGATTCTAGAGAGTCTTTCTCTAGTGAGGTAGGGGGTGTAGTATGTTTATAATCTTTGTTTTCCTTTGTGTTTTGAAGCTTAATATATATTGTATGCATGTTGTATGAGTTGTAGAATTGTATATAGATGGGGGTTATGTATATATCTTGACTTAAGCTTTTATGTTACACAAGCATACATACTATTGTCATTTTGTAAAGCTTGACACTAAATTGGTTGAAGACTATATTGTATTTATTTCATTGAAATATAATTGTTGCCTTATTATATTATTCTTGCCATTTAAGTTGCTAAGGGTTTGTTTAGTACTTGTATAAGTATGTGGTTAAATGTTTAAGGTTCATAGTGCTAATATGATGTAACCTTTTGTGTTGACATCAAAATGTTAGTATAAGTATATATATGCATTGAAGACTTATTAAAATCATGCCAAATTTAGTTTTGAAGACTTAGGACATGGAATGTGTGATATTTCTTCTTATGTATGCATAGAAAGTGAATTTCGTGCATTGTATATATATGTATATGTTGAGACATATTTGTTGATTTTGGAAATACTTGGGGCATTTGTTACGTTGACATGGTTAGAGTTAGGCTCTAGTGCTAGAGGTATGAGTTCTTCCCCGTATAGTGGCCACTTGGGTAGTTTCCGGCGGGTTAGTATCCCAAAATAGCTAATTTGTCTTTGTTGTGATGTTCATAACGGGATGTGATGTCCAAGATATTCGTATTGTATAATTTCGGTTTTCGTTTCCAAGTTGACAAATGTGTAATTGTAACTTGTGATTTTGGTATTGGATGTTCTAATATAGTTAAGTACACTTTAAAAGTGGATATTGCTCATAATGTTTCATTGTTATTCTTAGGATGATTCCTTAGCTTCACCTTGAAACTAGACATTAGGAGGCATTATCCACATGTATTTATCTATGTTATGATTGCAAAGCCTTTGAAGCCTTAGGTTATCCGCATAATGCATTTTCTTACGGAGTAATTCAATTTACTCACACCCGTTGATTATATATTTTTTAGGTAAGGAGGTATTTTTCATGGACGGTCACTTTCCTTAGTATATTGTGGACTTTATGTCATGAACACACATATTTTGTATGCATGCAAAGTGTTTAACATGCATTTTTTATGTAATTTTGTAACCATGGATATATAGATCATATTTTTGGACTTTGATATGTAATGAGGCCTTAGAGCCATTTGTATTTCAACTTCACATGTATTTATCACATATATGTATGTTCATAAGCTTATACATCCTTTAAATATTATGTTGGACCAATGTATGGGGGAAAAATGAGATTTAAGAGGCAAATTGCATGTTTTGGGCCTTCTGTAGAATCACAGGCTATATCGATCGACCGATAGTCACTACTGGCAAACCAGTTTCTTTGGATTTAAATGAATAGTGTTGACAGTAGCCAAATTCACTGTGCGGCTCATTTCGGCCAACCGGTAGTCCCTGGGTTTGCAAAACCTAGTTTAGGCACATCTCTTGCATGTTATAGTTTTCATTATGCTTCCCTTTTACATTTTTAACCTTACATAAGCCATTTTATGGCGATCATGACCTAGTTAGACCTAGTTCATGATTCTTCGAGTGTCGTCGGTGCTGGGAGGTACCATTTAACCATTTTGACCTTAACTTCGGCATTTTGGATCCTTTATTGGGTCAGGTTTCACATCACTACAGTTGATGCATCGGATTCCACAAATTTGGGGTGTTACAATTATACCCAAGATTAGAGGTGAAATGTGCATATTTCAGCACTTATCACAGCCTCAAACTTAAATA